GACTCTGTTTGGGGTAGTCTTTCGAGAAAGGTGATAAAACTGTGAGCCCTAGAAGTCTTCTCTGCTTGCTTTTACATCGTGCTCTTAAGTCTTCTCTCACATTCCCACTTTCAAATCTTAGCGTGGTCTTGATTCGGAGGCTTTCCTCCACAGTTTTTTTGCCAAGCAGAGTAACTGCACTGGCTCTTGCCTGTATTAATCAAGCCATGTAAATGCAGAGCAAGAATATCACTACAAAATCAAGATTAGCATGAGTTCTGGTCTTATCAGTTGTGTAATCAGCACCAGTCCAGGTTACTGCTGCTTCTGATGACATCCTTGTTGTGAAAGGGGATCACAGGGACATAGTAAGTGTCCACAGTCTGCCCTGCAGCTGCAAGTTGTACGAAGGGAGAATCAAAATTGAAGTGAATTGCAAATTATTTTTTTTCCTAGTCTCCTGTCCTTAGGAGCAGTTTCGCACTACCCGTAGTGTGCAGATCTCCTTGCATGTGTTTCGGGGGTTGTCATCGGCAAGACCCGAAGCCTTGAAGCTCTTATAACAACATTAATGATCAATTAAAGTTGTTTCAGGTAATGGATTTTGGAAGTGAAGTCAGCTAAACTTGAAAGAAAATGTCTTTAAATCTGATAGAAGCATCTGTGCAGGTGTTCACTTAACTCACTCTGACTTCAGATGGATTTGAAGTGAGTTTTGGCTGAGTGAGCGCAACCCCAAGAAATTAATGGGTATATCATCATGTCCTTTTTTAATAAGGGTGTTTGGGAAGCATATTTGACAATTTGATAGCGTTACCATGGGCTTTGAGGAAGAGTATTTACACCAGACCCCTTGGGGATTTTTGGAGCTGCTGATGTACTTCAAAATAACAGAAACCTGCATGTTAGGTGGGCTTAAATGGAGGAAGCAGTTGACTGAGGTGCAGGTCTCAAGGGTATTTAGGAGTGGTGACAGCAAGCTGCAAAACCAGGAGGAAAACCAAGTTGGTTGGCTGGAGAAGAGGCTGGTTTGTAAATTAGCACAAATGAGTCCAGCCAGGGTCCTCCAGCCCAAAGCAGCATCATCCACTGCAGCATCCCAAGGCCATAACCATGTTCCACCCACGACAAGTGAGGAGGCACTGGGCACTGATGAAGGAGGTGACTTCAGGATACGCGCTGGTGCCACAAAGGCCCCCGGCATTTCTGTGGCCACTCTTCCATCCCACGGGGCAGTGAGGGAGGGCTCCCCACCGGAGCCAGCAGGGCCCACGTTGAGCCGGTGGTTTGAGGCTGTCGTGCTAGAACGTGTCTCTCTTGATTTCTGAGCTCCCTGAGATTTCTCACTGTTGATGGAGATTGATTTTGCCTTTGGGAACCCGAGGGTATAAGTTGTACTTGTAATTGGCCTGAGCTGAACTAGGAGAAACTGCTGATGTCTTTGTTCTCTTCTGCAAGTGATGTATTTTATAAGCTGCTTCTGACTGAACATGAGAAGGGAAAAGGTGGAAACAGGGTTGGTGAAATACCCATGCAGATTTTGCATTGGAGCAGTTTGCCATCTGGAATTAAGACCGTAACTCCTCTCCCATTCAGGAGAAGAATATAATCCCAGCCATCTAAAGCTGTGGATTAGCATTTTCCCTGCTACATATGGCTGTTGGTAATCAGGTTGTTTATTGAAGGAGACAACATGGAAAATAATTCTAAAAAGTCTTGGCAGCAGCGGCAGCCGATCCTGGCGGTGATGGTGCTGGTTCCAGCAGCTCCTAAACTGGCCGGTTTAGGTAGGAACGAAGGTGATGGTCACGGCTGGGGCAGGCTGGCGGGGCTGCTGCTCAAAGGTCGAGCTGGGGGAGGTCTGCAGAGCTCACCTCCCAAAGTTAATTGCTCTCCAGGTCTTAAGGCTGATACTCGTCTGTCCGCCCCGCGCTGAGCACGTAGTGTTCGCTCCGGAGGTTAGGATGAAAACATGTTCTCCTTGCTAAAGAGAGCACATAAACAATCCATAAACGGCCCATTAACCCACAAAATCGCAATAAAGAACATGTGGTAAAGCTAGCCATAGGAGACCTGTGACCCAGCAAATGCCTTAATTGGATTTTGGACCTTATCATCTCTGCTAAATGCAGTTAATAGGAAATTAGCAAAACCAAGAGAAAGAAGAAAAGAAAGAAGGGTGACGTGTAATGCACGTCCAGGTTTGCTGAGACTGTTTCTGTAATTCCTCTCACAATGCAGGTCAGTGAGCAAAATGTTGTGGAATTATGTTATGGGATCAAGTGTTGGGGTAACACTTCCATGTAATAAAAGGACTTCAAAATGACCGAAAAGAGATCATTTTCCCATTGGCTGCAACCAATGCTTTTGGCAGCTCTAGGAGCACTGCAGTCACTTCTCTTACAGGCTGTTCATGCACCAACTGCTTGTTGTGCTCCACATTCCTTTTTTGAAATGATAGGATGTAAATGTATTTTATTGCTTTTTTTATCTGCCATATTTAAATTCTGTTCAGAATATAGAAGTATATCGAGAGCCATAGTGAAGACTGAGGAGGAAAATGGTAGAAGGTAGAGTGATAGAATGTTTTGAGTTGGAAGTGACCTTACAGATTATCTGGCTCCAACTTTCCCTGCCAGTGGGTCTTATTCTTCATCTGGAGGATGACAGCAGCGTTCAGACACCATCAGCCACAAGCTGCAGTTGTCTGGCTTATCCCCAGGCCCTTTCCACTGCTGGGAAACCACTCAATGGTTGGATGGTGGTGTTCCTCAGCTGAATTCAAACCACTGAAGAAAGTAGATTGTGGAAGTTTGCAGGCTCGTGCAATAAGCTGGTTTGCGTGGCCAGGCGTCATCCTTTAATTGGCTGTATTTAAAGGCCTTAGATGAACCCTTGGCCCCTGTTTGAATAGGTGTTGTATCCTCCCCAGTGAGAGAAGCCTGCCCTGAAGCACATGTGAGAAATGAAACCCTGCCTCCTGATGCTCAGGGGCATCGGTTTCAGCACAAGATCCTGGCACCAGTGGTTGGGGCTGACTCTGTGAAGCTGAGCTCAAGTGTTATGCCTAATTGCATTTTTAGAACAGGATAACCTTAATTATTCATGCTAATGTTTTTATTAAACACGGCTTAGATGCAGATTTTCAGTCCAAATTGCTTTTGTAATTATAGGGACAATTTTCAAGCATACGGTTATGTGTTTGCAGATATATTTTGGAACTATAATTATTTGTGTTTGGGATGGGCAAGGTCTGTGCTACCCAAGACTACAGAGAAGAGCAGTAGGGGCCACAGCTCAGGGAGGTGAAAATGGTGGGGGATAGCAGATGGGGACTTGTGGGAAGAGGTGTGGACCAGTAGCAGTTTGTGGACTGCAAGTGAGCAGACATAGTGGTGGTGGAAAACACAGGTTGATCCAGCTAGCTGGAGGTAGAGAGGCTGGACTGTTCTGCTCCATACTGAGGGATGTTTGGGGCTCTTATCCGTTTTCTGAACGGGATCATGTTGCTGTGGTGAAAGGCAGTGCTGCTGAGGACTTTGTGACAGGAGAAAGGAGGGGCATGTAGATGTCCTTGCTGCCATTTAAGAGGGAGATGGAAGTAATTTTCTAGCCCCTTTAGCAGGACACGCAGTACTCTGAAGACATCTCCCAAGGCTGCCTGCTTGGTGTGTTGCTGTCCCTCGTACCCAAGTCGCAGTGCCATGGGGCAAGGTGCTTGGATGCCCAGGGCATTGCAAGGGCTCTTAGGACTGCAAATATATTTTCAACCGAAATCTGTTTTATATTATGAAAGCATCATCACCCTGACTGATGAAGAACTGAATTTGTGTCAACCTTTGCTGAGTAATTGAAGAAGAAAGCAATGGTAGTTTCCTTAAAATAGAAGAAAGGGCGGGTTTCTTACTCCTTCCCTTTTCACGTTACAGATTGAGACTCTGTTTACCCTGGAAAGATCAATAGTGATTGGACACGTGGTGTAATTAATCATTTTGCAACAGACGGACAGCTGATCTTTTGAAAAGAAAGTTTTTAGCAGACCCGTTCAAAGTTCATAGTCTGTCATGTAACTCTACTGCTAATAAACATTCAGCTGAAAGGATGCCTGCCTTAGAATTTCACATCATCACACCTTCGGTTTAAGGTGATATGATCAGAAAAAACCTGCAGAGCCTCAGAAGTCCTCCCGCAAGGTGACTTTGTGGCATGAGCTCCGCTTGCTTTTGGGAGATGCCCTTAGGCCTTGGGATGTGGACACTGAAGTTCTCTGGTTTTAATTTTCAGTTGCATGTTTCTTAAGCAGGAAGGGTTTTTTGAGGTAATAATGCAAATGAACTTTGCTTGCACTATCAAAAGAGTGTGTGTTGAACACTGTTTCTTCCACCTAAACGGGCAGTCTTTTCCCCAACGGGAACAGTTGTTTTTTCTCAGTGCATTGGTGCCTGACTAAATACGTTGGGTCACATTCTTCATGTATAGACGAGACAAACTTTCTGTTAAATATTCCTGTGAAATATTCCTCGTGGGCCAATGGGAGCCTGAGCCTTGTTGGCAGGGAGGGGAAAGCCAGCTATGGGATGCTGTCACAGCAAGCCCCAAAATAGTTGGTTGGAACTGGTTTTATGTTATATAAAAAAGGGGGCAAACGATCCAAGCTGATCAGAGTACGAGAGGTCCTTGGGTATGTGCCATAGAGCATATTGGCTTTGAGCTCGGAGGGGCTTTTTTACAAGGGCTGCAAATTGCTGTGACATAGTTAAGGACTGTAGGAAGAGGCAAGTTTTCCTGAACTTTACTCCCAGCTTGAACTTTTAAGAAGTGAAGCGAGAGGCAAGGAAGGGGAGAGGAGGGAGATAGACGTACCCTTGCTCGTGCCCCTCCATCCACAGCGACTAGGATGTCAAATGGAAAAGACAGCCTGGAGAAACAGCTGAATGGCTTTGGGGAGAAGGGGAAGGAGAGGAGCCGCACGTCCCTGGTCATCTCCCAGGCCGTTAACCGCAGTATTTTCACCTCTGCAGTCTCCCCTGCTGCCGAACGCATCCGCTTCATCCTCGGAGAGGAAGATGACAGCCCCGCACCCCCGCAGCTCTTCACTGAGCTGGATGAACTTCTGGCCATTGACGGACAAGAGATGGAATGGAAGGAGACTGCAAGGTGGGTTGGTTTTGCTTTGCCCCGAAAGGGAGGGGGCAGCTGCATGGGTCCTCCATGGAAAATGCCTTTTTAACATTCAACTGGGATAATGTCTGTGCTCCAGAATCATTTGGGGAATCCATGGAGAGGAACCTGTGTAGATCAAATTACCTTTCTTGGATAAATGAGAGAATTTGAGTAGTATCAGTAGCCTGACCCCACCACCCACCACATGTGGGGAAATGTTGCCTGTGTCCTTCTCCTAGCAAGTTACAGATGAAACTCTTTTTAAATAGGCAAAAAATCCTAAAGGTTTTTAATTCTGCGGAAATTATTCAAGGTGTGTGTTAAATGCTGGATTGGGTTACCCACTTGGAGTTTCTTGGTTAGGTTCTCTGCCTTTTTCTTAGATGCTCCTGTTGGTTTGGTCAGAAAATTGTGCCAAAAAAAAGTCATTTTTGTATTTATCTTTTTTTTTTTTTTTTTTTTTAATCTGCTTGATTCAAGTTACATATAGTTTATTTCTGAACACCACCAGAATAGTCACTGGATTGGATCCATGATCTAAAGGCTACTGTTTAGCCTCCAGCCTTACAAAGTTTAGACTTTTTTTATACAGTAAAAATAATTTTCTTGGGTTTGCCTTAAAAAGGAAACTGCTAATTGCAGTCTAGTTGCTATAAAGGCCTGAAAGGTCCTACTGGCAGGAGGTCTTCTGGGCTCTGCCTTCCCCATTCCCAATCCCTCTCACTGAACTTGGGGCTTTTCCTTTTCCTTTAGTGTGGCTGGGCTAAGCTCTTTCCCCACCTTCCAGTCCTAAGGGCACCTACTGTGTTTGTAGTGAGCCTGGTTGTTTGGTTACCTTAATCTTCTTTACCTGTGATATACTGAACTGCTCTACCACCTTTACCCCCTTATCTTTATTTTGGCTTCTCAGTCACTTGGAGAACCTATTTAAAGACTTTTCACCTTTTGCTCTTTAAATTCTTACTTGTTGATCATCTTCTCCTCCCTTTATTGCATTTCTTCCCTCTTATCGTTAGTTTTGTCATCTGTACTATCCACCTCTGCTTTTCACAGCAGATTTTGCTTTCCTCTGTCCATGCAGAGGTCTTTGGGAAGAAGCTTTAATGACAATTTGTTAAAACTTTTTCACGATTCAGATCTTAGTGTGGTATTTCTTCTTGAGCAGTCTCTTCAGTTTCTTCTTTATAGTATGAATATTGGGAATATCGTATGAGTATCATGTTCCTTAAGTCCACAAACGTCAGCCGTCAGAGGGAAGATTCACAAAGCTCTGTTGTTTCTTGAAGGACATGTCAGGAGCCCTCTGCTCTTAAATTCAGAGGACCCTACAGTGGGATATGCCTCCACCCCTCATACAGGTGGCTGTAGAGAAAAAGGGATGTTTGCTTCTCTGGCAAATTATTTTTGGTTTTATGTGTTCTTACTTGTCTTTGGTAGAAGTACTAGATGGAGCTGTTGATGTCTTTTTAAATATACATGTATATATTACATGCTTTAAGCACTCTGTTGAGGCACTGTTTAATTTCTAACCTTGGCCCAACTTCTTATTTCATTGATAGTGATCTTGCATAGCCTATGATTGTTCAGGATTTTTCAGTATCTTCCTGAAATGAGTTAATCTTGCACAACATGAGCTGCTGCAAGCTTCTGCAGGACATCCTAGCTGGAGTTGGCCAGCTCTGTGCTTCAGCAGCTAAGGGAGCTGCAGCTCTTTGGTCAAAGACTTAAAAGAGTGTGGAAGCTGTCAGGGAAGAGTGTTTCCCCTAAAAGGGTTTAGCAGATGATACCATTTCTTCCAGAGTTCTTCTGATAAATAACAAAATAATTGGTACATGTCAAGGAAAATTTCTAGCAACAACCTTAAAGCTACTGGTTAAAAGATGTTTCCGTAAGAGGACCTTTAGTTGCCCATTCTGGTTCTTGAGTCATGTGAATTCAGCTTTCTGTATTGCAGTCCCGGTATAAAAGGGGCTGTAGTTGTCCCCTTGCACATGGTGACATTTCTGACAGTAGCTCAGATCAGCCCGTGATCAGAGCTTGAGGATGCCACGTTCCTTGGCATGGTCCTGTTACCTGTTAGAGCATCATGGTGCTGGGCCATGGTTCAAAATAAAGGGCCATTTTAAGAAAACATCCTTAGGGTACACCAGGCTTCACACCAAAGCCCTGGAAATTAATTAGAGATAGAACAGTAAAAGGGGTGATTTACTGCTGTTCCAAGGGGACCAGAAGATTTGGGTCACTGGGTGCTCCTTGCTGGTTTTGTTGGTGCTCATAATTGATTTACCTGGTGCAGATGGACAAGTTCTTGCACTGACATGTGAATATTCACATTTCAGCAGCAGTTTCAGAACACAGAGGGAACTAGGACAAGCCCTGAAGCAGCTGGAGGGCACCAGTCTCTTTTGAGGTGCAGTACAGTACATTTGGGGATCCAGATGTGTCCACCATAGTGTGGGGATTGTCTTTCTACAAGGCAGGGTGGAAAGGTCATGAGATGACAGGGAAGATGAAAGAATAATAGAATCATAGAATTGTTCTGGTTGGAAGGACCTTCAAGATCAAGGCCAGTCATTCACCCAGCACTGCTAGGTCACCACAAAACCATGTTCCTAAAGGAGTGAAAGGGCTGGAGGATGCTGAATGGGTATTTTTAATCTTCTGTTATGTTTGGGGTTTTTTATTATATAAGCTCTGTCAGGCAGTACCTTGATATCCTTCTCTCTTTTGCACACTATAACACTAACACACCATTTACAAAATCCCGTTCAAAGCTCTAAGAATCAAGTGTCTAAAGATGCCTCAGGGAGTTGGGAAGGCATCTCACCATCAATGAATTCCCGTGGAAATGGATGAGCTTGAACACTCCCTGGGAAACGAGTCAACATAGGGACTGCACCAGGTAGAACAGGTGACAGTTCAAACAGGTTTGCAAGTTAGTGGTTGGTTTGTTGTGGGTTATAGCGAGAAAAGTAAACAGAAAGCAAATATTGATAGTCAGGAATAATTGGCTTTCACTGAAAAGGCAAACACTTGGAATTGGCAGCCCTTAGGCCTCTATGGGGTAAACTGCATCTTGGTCACACATAATATATAGCCTTGGAAATTCATACCCTTCAGTGTCCTAGGAAATACTTAGATTTGTGAACTAGTCAGAACCTTATTAATTTGAGAACAAATTCAATTTCTTAGCTTGAGTTAAAAAGCAGCTTTTAAAAAAAAAAAGTCTCAAAAAGAGATTGTTGCAGTTGAAAAGCATAGTTGATTAATCCTAAAGTGATACATTTCTCGGGGTTGAATATAATTTCACTTGGTGATAATACTGTTCTTCTGGACCAGTTCATGAGCTTCCTTACCTTTATGTGTGTGGGTCTTGCCTTAATTATCCCCTTCTGTTAGTCACTGGAATTTTCATTTTCCACAGATATCAAAATAATATCTCCAGACAGGATTCAGAAGCATTTCTGCTTTGCAATCACCTAGTATTGCAACCGGCCGGGTGCAGCAGAGCCACGGGCAGGGTCAAGGCTGAAGGTGGAGGTGGGAGGTGACACCTCCTGCTCACCTGCTGTTAGCACAGGGGTTTAGGGCTCTAAAGAGTATTTTGTGCAGACCAGGATTTAACCTTTGCTCTCGTCTTCCATTCGAGATGAGATTTCTGTTTTTTTTTCAGACCCACTTTGGTAAGTCATTAAACAACAGCATGAGAGCAGGGGGGAACAATGAGCTCTGAATTTGTCTTTTCCTTTGGTAGCTCACTCATTCTGCTAAGAACATCTCCAGATTTGTTTGTGATGTGTTCCTGTCCTCCATCCTCTGACTCATGCCAGCCCGTAGGCATGGGGCAGCATTATTCGTTGCTACTGCCTTATTTACAGAAATGCTGATTTTTATCATTTTTTCCCCTGATCCTTTTTGTGGAGCTGTGGTGCTCCCAAACCAGGACAACCTCACATTTGCAGTAGTTTGCAAGTGGGCAGAACATTATCACCACTCAGCTGACACATGGCAATCCATTAAGCCTTTGCAGCTCCATCATGGATTTGTGACCTTGAAGACGTGTGGGAAAATGCGTGTGCTTGAACTTGCTGTTGTGCTGAGATGATTCAGCTGTCTCACTGCTTTTGAGTATGTGTCTGCAAGGAGCCAACAGCTTTAACACTGTCTTGTTGCTCTGCCCTCTCCTAGGTGGATCAAGTTTGAGGAGAAGGTAGAACAAGGTGGGGAGCGATGGAGCAAGCCTCATGTGGCCACCTTGTCCCTTCACAGCTTGTTTGAGTTAAGGACGTGTATAGAGAAGGGCTCAATAATGCTGGATATCGAGGCCTCTTCTCTCCCACAAGTCGTGGGTAAGTAAAGCTATCTTGGCTCTTTTTCCCTACAGATTTTTCATAGAATCATAGAACTGTTTCGGTTGGAAGGAACCCTTAAGATCATCAAGTCCGGCCGTTAACTCGGCATGGTCAAGTCTACCAGTAAACCATGTTCCTCTGGACCACATCTCCACAACTTTTAAATGCAGCCGGGGATGGTGACTCCACCACTTACCATTTTTCCTCAGGTCCAATCTAAACCTCCCCTGGAACAACTTCAGGCCATTTCCTCTTGTCCTATCACTTGTTCTTTGGGAGAAGAGCCTGACCCCCACCTGGCTCCAGCCTCTTGTCAGGGAGTTGTCCAGAGCCAGAAGGTCTCACCTGAGCCCCCTTTTCTCCAGGCTCGACAACCCCAGGTCCCTCAGCCACTCCTCAGAAGACTCATCACTTAGTTTTTATTAACCCTGATGATGATTTCACTGATAGGTTTAATAAAAAGCTCTGCTTTTTCAACAGAAGAATAAAATAAATAATCCTCCAAGGAACAACAGAGAAGACTAGAAAGTACGTGGATTATAACAGATAATTGAAAGGACCTCTTAATTCAAGGAGGAGAGTGAAAGAATTTACTTCAGTGATAATTAGCGCTTACCTTGAACTGTTTTTTGGTGATTATTCAGAACCATTTGGATCCTGAAGTAGATATCCTAAGATGGAGTGCTTCCCTCCAGCAAAGGAGAGCGAAGAGCAGGCCCAGTACCAGCTGATGCTTCATTCTGCTGACTTTCCCATTCAGCAGGTTTTTTGCAGTCAAAATAGCCGTGGCCTGGGCTGACACTTGGTGACATTGCTGAGAGCTATACCATGTTCACAATGACATGTGAGAAGACATATCGAAAATAAAGTTTAAAAGCGAGCCATCCAGTGGAGGTACATTTAACCCAAACGCTGAGTTTAGAAGCCATTGTGTGAAGAGATGTAGAGGAGCAAAATTAAATCAGAGCCCCACAAAAGTTGGTGCTTTGAATTCCGATCTCAGGAAGCAGGCTCAAAATTGTCCTGGAATGAAATTACCAAATATCAGGTGTTGCATTAGTTTGTAAGACTTAGAATTACAAAAGCTGCATCTGATGTTACCTGCAGAGTTTCCAGCTTAGTTTTGTTGGCAGTCGTAGCGGCATTTCTCTTCTTTGTGTCTGTGTATCCAAGTGCACAGTTTTGCAAAGTTTAAAAAAAAAAAAAAAAAGGCAATACAAATGGAAAATCTCTGAAGTTTTATCCTGGAGCTGAATGTGCTTCAGAAAACGACAGCTAATGTCAGTGGTCCAAAACTTGAACCCTCAAATACTAGATTTCATTTTGAAGTCACTTTGAGATGTCACCTTCAATATACTTCTTCAACATCCAAATAAAATCTAGTTTCTGGGAGATGAAATTACAAATCGGTGGCTGCTGTTGCTGTAACCCTATTCTGAGCAGGGTATTTTTGCTGATCCAGATCCTTAATCTGGTAGATGGGGATATCCAAGAAGCCTGCGGACTTGGTTCCAGAATTATTTAGTCCTGATCACTTGTCTGGTGTGTAGGAGTAACACACAGGAAAGAAAGTCTCAAAGAGCTCTCTCGATTGTTTTGTGTCACATCAGAAACAGGGAAGGGAAGAAATACTTGCCAGATAGAGAAGAATAAACTTGATGCGGACAGACTTCTTCTGAAGGGAGTATTCCAAAATCACACACAAGACCCACCCAGAAAGACCCCAGAAGCATACAGAAAAATGGCACTTTATAGAAACAAAGCTTTTGCCAAACACGTTGTGTAACGGCACCTCCATGCAGCAATCCCCTTTTCTGAGCTGGGTGGAGGAAGGAGAAGAAGGAGGCTTCCTGCCCTCCTGATGTGAAGAGGCATTAATTAATCCTAGGGCAGCATACAGAGGATGACTTTCTGACTCACTGAGTTAGCAAATGCGCTGTGTGTTCTGCCTCCCCTTCTCCCATAACTTTTATTATTAGCACAAATAAAAGTTACCAGTAGACAAATAAGAGCTGCCACTTCCCCTTGGGGGACAGCACGTTAACTGAAGTACTCAAGGGAACAACTTAATGTGAGATTTAATGTACAATAGAGACTCTTAATAAGCTGGCTACTTTTTTTTTTTTTTTTTCTTTCTTTCTTCTCTGGGAATAGAGGAGCACAAAAGAGAGAACTGATGGGACGTGAGCAGGCTTTGCAGTGGGCTGAGAGGCTTTTCCCTGGTGATTAAAGGCAAAGCCACATCATGGCTCCTGTGACAACTGGAGCAAGTTCTGCCTTTTTAGTTGCCGTCATTTTACTTCAGTTCTGAGAGAGAGTGATTTAATTAGTTGCTCATCTCCAGGACTTCTTCCTATTGCTAGATTAGATTTTACTGGGGGCCTGCGAGGTAAACTCAGGCCTTGTTGAATCTGATGGAAGTTTTACTGTGTTATTTTTGGGAGCACACTGAAACTTGCAATGTACTTGCAGCTTCCTCACAAAAGCACCGTGTCAGAGCAGATTCCCTTTCTGAACCAAGAACCATCTTACCCTGCGTGCAGTTGATGCAAAATAGGCTCAGTGGCATGTATGAAAATAATTTAGGACAAGAAGAGTCAGCCTCAAGTTACACCAGGGGAGGTTTACTTGGACATGAGGAGACATTTCTTCATGGAGTTGTGGTGAAGCCCTGGACCATGCTGCCCAGGGCAGGGGTTGAGTCCCTATCCCTGGAAGGATTTAAAAGCCATGGAGATGTGGTACTGAGGGACTCTGTTCAGCAGTGACCTGGCAGTGTTGGGTCAGTGGTTGGACTCAATGATCTTGAAGGTCTTTCCCAATCAAAATGTTTCTATGATTCTGTAGCACAAGGGAGTCTCAGTGCAATAGGTACATGCTGGTGGCTGATGGGTTTTGCTGGGTGGAAATGCTTATGTTTCATTCCAAAAGAAACATCCAAAAGAGATTCCCATTAAAAATAAGATGGTGAAATCTCGTGATGGTTTTGAGATGGGAAGAAAAGCCTTCAAAAAAGGTAGGGTGAAAACAATATCTATGTCTCCCCCTGCTCTCCTTGAGTTTTGGGATGGGTTGTCCTCTCCTCTGCCTCACTGCTTTCCTTGCATGTGACAGAAATGATCGTCGACAATCAGATTGAGACGGGGCTTTTGAAATCGGAGCTGAAGGACAAAGTCACCTACACGCTGCTCAGGAAGCACCGGCACCAGACCAAGAAGTCCAACCTGCGCTCGCTGGCTGACATCGGGAAGACCGTCTCCAGTGCAAGTAGGATGTTTACCAACCCCGATAATGGTAATGCAGAGGCTAACTGGCTATAGCCTTCCCTTCTAAAGCAACCACCAAACCTGCCTGCCAGCAACTAACTGCGTTGCCTTGACAGTGCTTCTCTAACCCACAATTGACGTAGTGAGACCTGCGCTGCCAGCTCGTCAGCGGTGGGCTCTTAAGGCTGCTTTGGCCGTGGCACATCGCTCTAACCCTATCTTCACTGGACTGAGGGGGAGAGGAGGGGAGGCAGGCAGGGAGCATGAGGCTCCAGCAGAAGCAGAGAGATGCTCTCATGTAGGAGATGGTGTAGGAACAATAATAGGAAAGGGAGATTTACAAAAAACTCCAACCGTGCCTGAACCTAAAAGGCCGATGATCTGAAATGTTTGGGCAGAGATGAAGCTCTCGTGTGTGTTTGATTTCTGAAACAGACAGTGTTGATGGCACTCAATCAAAAATTATGTGATAATAACATCCAGCTTGCATTTTATTGCCATGCAGTCATTGTCCAGTGTGGGTAAAGCTGATATCCATCTTGCTTTGTTCATCCTAAAGTTGTTTTGTGGACTGTGCTGTGACTACATCTCTCTCTCTATCTAAAAGTGGTGTGTGTCATAGATAGTGCCTGTAGTGGTGTTTATAAACGTGTGCGTGTGCGTGGATGCAGACAGCTACAGAGGCCGTGGCAGTGACTCTGTGCTTAGCCATACACTGAGGTTTGCAGTCATCCTACCCATGGTAATCAAAAAAGAGGACTTTTAAGCCTGTTGTTGTGTCTTGGAGCTCTGTTAGCTGCCTCCTGTTGCAGTCTGGAGATTGGTCTAGAAGTTGCCATTTTAAAATACTCAGAAATGAAAGCAAATGAAGAAATTATTTTCTTCTTGCTGCATTTAAGGCCTCTTAGCTTTCTGTGTTCTGCTTCTAAAACTTGCCCTAACGTTTCTCCCTAACCTATTATCATACTTCATTAATATTTCCTACTTTTTATCGTCCTTTGCATTAGCAGCAGGTGTGTATGTGCATGTGAGGAATATTTATTGCTCTTGATGATGCCTCTTGTCATGTATGAGTGCCTTGATAATGCAGAGATTAAGTGAATAACAAACAAAAAGGCACAAGAACATGAATCAAGAGAATGTCCTGGGTGTCTTGGGCACTCTCATTGTGCATGGGAGACGAGCAGGGAAACTCCTGACGCTGGGAGTGCCTCTGTCTTTGGGCAGTGATATACTTTTGTCATGTCTTACAGTTGAACAAAGAATCCAGTTTAGGGTTAGGAACTGTCTCAGGGAGATCCTAAGGCACAGAAATCCTTTAAGATCGACTGTGTGGCACTGCTATGATTAGTGCCTCCTTCAGACACAACCGGAGTCCTAACTGGAGGGGTTAAAAAGGGCTGTGTACAGCACACATCCACCTTCCACCTCTAGTGCATCTATTTTTACTGCAACCATCTGGTCATAACAGCCACCTCTTCTCTCAGCAGCTGGTGGATGTCAAGTTCCTCCCTTCTGCAGCTGAAGTCATTCCTTGAGGAGCCATCAGAAACTCGGGGTGTGAAAGACAAATTAAAACTTACCTAAGGGCTTTGCAGCTAAATCATGCTCAGGGTATCATTTAAGTCTACCTTGGATGGCAAGCACTGTCTCTTCACTGTATGGAGCCAGACTTGCAGGTGATTAAAGAGAAAATAGCAGCGTATTTATCCTGGAAGGGTGACGCTGGCAAAGGGCATCCATCCCAGCCCCTGCTTATTTTTCATGGCTGAGGGCATCCTTTGCTCAGATCCAAGGCCACTCCGGGTGTCAATCATTTCTTTTTTTTTGCGCTGTGCAAGGGGCTGTGCAGGTCCTGTCTCAGACTGATTCTCAAGAAATGTTTTCCTGGGTCTTCTCAGCTCACTGGCTGACCTTCAGCTACTCCTTTCGTGTTGTTTTGCCCATTTCCTCACCTGGGATGTGTATGTGTTCGGAGGATATATAATGCGTTATGTTCCGTGACAGCTCAAGTGCTTTGAGGCTTCAGGAGGGAGCAACTTACATACAAAGGGAAATACTTCATGAATAGTTGTTACTGTTATTTATTATTTACACTTTAATGAAAAAGTAACTGCAGAATGTGTTTGATCAAGTTCTACCATGCTCTCTGGAATTTGATAAGTGCCTCTCATGTGCTTCTAAAAGCAGAATTTGTCCTTTAGACAGATAAAAATTTAATGAGGCCAACAGGAATGCAGCTGCTTCTCAACAGGGCTAATCGCAGTAATGAAAGTACCACCAGCCCCCAGTGCTCATCAGCTTCCCTAGAGTTCCTTTCCAGGTAGGTATTTCCTTTCAGTGTCCACCTTTCATTTCAGCATGGATGAAGCTTTCATACAATATTGATGCTGCCACCAGGTTCAGCAGCCTCTCTGAGCATCGCTGACTTCTCACCTCCACACACGGGGTCTTTTTATGGGCTAAGATATTTGGAAGCAGCTTGGCTCCCAAAGGGAGAAGGGCGAACTTCTCATCTCTAGTTTACCCATAAAAGCCATCGATGTCATTACAAAGCATCCTGCTCTTCTAATGGACACCATTATTGTGTGTTCATTAAGGGTCATTAATTACTGAAGTTGAACCAGATCCTGCTGTAGGATATATGTCAAAATATTTTGCAACTCACTGACTCTTACTGGGAATCACAGTTGATTTGGAACCTATGAGTTGGAACATGTGATAGGTACCTAATTGTGTTAAATTATTTTCAAAAACATTTATTTAGTGAACACTTTAGCTTAGTGTCATTAGCATGGATTCTGCCCATGATTTTCCTTCTGTTTTTGTTTTTTTGTTTTTTTTTTTTTTTTCTCCACGGCAGTTAGGCTTAAAACCTGGATTAGATAATGACAGAGTCCTTCAAAAGTATTTCTTAGATCCAAAAACTGTAAATATTCCCGTGGGCCTTGGTTCTCAAAAATACTGAAGTGTCTGCATCTCAATAACTTCAGAACACTTAGGGGCTCTAAAGTTGTCTGTGCCTTCCTAAGCTTGTATAAACTCCTGTTCTGGTTTTATGTTTAATCACAATTAAAACTTCTGAACGTGTCCTAAAATATTCTTTATGTATAAATTAAACCTCACCAGGGATGATGGTATGGTTCCTGCTAGCAGAGTCATCTTCCATCACCTTCAGTGTTTTTTTTGAGGAGAAGGCTCTGTAGCGACCAGACTCGGAGAACCCTGCTCTTCAGAGCAGCCAAGGTGTGCACTGAATACTGTGTTCACAGTGTTCACTGCTGGGTCACAAAAAATTGAGCTTTGAGTCACACTTGTGGAGGATGTTTCCTCAGAGATCCTTTTGCTCTTGGGAAAGAAATTGGTCAAAAAGGTGATGATTTCTTGTGTGACATGGGATGGAGGAGGACAAATCAAAGCACTCCTTTGCTGTCCAAAAGACGATTATCAAAAAGCTGAGGAGACAAAGCTGTACCAAGTGATTACTCAACATTACCTTACAAAGGCACTACCTTTTTCATTTCTTTTCTTGGTGGAAGGCTGAGCTGCATGAAGTGTTCAATGAGTACATTTTGCTTTTACATTGCAGTTGAACTCTGCAGGGGTTTTTGACATTTTTTTTTTTTCATATTTTCCATGTCTTGTTTTGTTGTCTTTCTAAGAATTAAGTGTTTTTCATACAAACTGCATCCACAGTCCCCTTAGAGAGTTTTATGGTGTCACCAGCTGAAGCATATCAGCAGAGGAGGAAGGAAGGTGAACTCAGAAATGAGATAATTTTCAAGAAACACTTGGAAAAACCCCACCCATGTCTTTAGCTGTGTGCATTATTTGAAGCATTGTAGACTAAGGTACGTGTTTCTGAGCCTGGGCTGATGTGCCTGGGTAGAAACATGGTCAGGATGCCCAAAGTTGGCTTGTACAGGGACATGACCCATTTGGCTTTTTCTCAGAAGCTCTGTGTGTCTTACTGTCTGCACGCAGCTCGGGGCTGCTTGGCACGGCTAGCGCTGCAGCTGCCTCGCTCCGTTGCTTGAAATTCCCTTCTAAGATGCTTGAATTTTAGACACCAGGGTGGAGAGCGAGCCCCAGAACACTGAAAGGTAGAGCTACAGAGGAGATGTGCTCCAAATGAGCAAGCTTCCAGCTTTGGTCACCAGCCTGCGTGGAGAGGTGCGCTCCTGTGTAACTGCGACGGTTCGAACCCTCTGTCTCCTGCCTGGCTGTGCTTGTGCAATTGCTTGAGCGTTTCTTTCTCGCTTTTTTTTTTCTTTTCTTTTGACTTTTGCTCTCTTCCTCCTCTTTGCTGCTGCTACTGTCTCCTGCTTGCGCCGTACAAGCACGCAGCCCACTCGAGAGCTCTGTTCCCTGCCTAGCAACCCGCACGGTGGATGATGAAATCCGGGTGCAGCGCAGCCCCAGCGTGGGATGGCTCAGTAAGTCCTTGGGCAGGGGGACAGGTGGGCGGGCTGGGGAGAAGGAGAGGGAGAGGGAGAGGAAGAAGAGGAAAGGGGAGCTCACACCAGCTGGGCTCCTAGCGCTTGCAGCTGTGTTAACAGCAGGGATACTGCCAATGGAATGGCTGCTGCACTGGCTGTCCATGGTACCTCCACTCTCGTCTCCCGCTGCTCTATTTCACTCTGGTTTACCTTTTTTTTTCTTCATCTGGGATGAAACAGGTCGGTCGACCTGCACTCCCCTTCAGGTGGTGGTCTCCCTCCTAAGCCACCTAGTGACACTTCTTTCCTTTGGCTGTTGAAGGCTTTGTGAGTTTTGCCACCATTGTGGTGTTACAAATGCAACAAGCTAAAATATTTTCATTTCCGTATAAATGCCAGAGAAGGTTTAAGTTGGACGTTGGGTGAAATTTCTTTCCCTGCAAAGTGTTTTCCAGGCCTGGCCCTGGCTGCCCAAGGCCTGAATCAGGAAATTAGCCTTAGTTAGCAAGCGGCATAAGGGTGGACATCATGTGCCAGAATCTTCAGCTGAGGTCTCGGTAGCAGGAGCATTTTACTCCACTGGTTTGTTCAGGGCTCTGAAGGCTGAAAGGATTGTTGCTTCCTTCTTCTCCCATGTTCCCTCTGGATTCAGAGAAGCTGCTCACCTAAGGACTGCCATGTTTGTAAGGTTAGTTTTTTCCCCTCTTTCAGGGCTTTTTCAGAAGTGGTAGGTTTGCCTCAGAGGCTGAGATTACCTCGTGTCACTGAAACCTCCAAAAGGTTTGCGTCTGCTCCAGAGAGTTGATCTTACGAGCAGGTTGGTTACACAAACCTAAAAAAGTGAGTATTGGACATGTCCTTCATGGCTTTGGGCCTTCAACGGTGCACAGCCACCAGGAACCCGAGTCAGAAGGGGTTTAGATTTGCGCCACATAATCCACGAAGATGAATGGTGTTTGAGCCAACATTGCACATGTTGCATCTTGCATTTCTAGCAGCATTTTTCTGTTAGTGACTTTGCTTAGCAGTCAAGATAAAATCGGGGATTTGGGGAAAACTGCTAAATGCAGGCTGGGATACTGTCAAGTTCCTTAGGTCAGCAAAGCTGGTAAAAGGTGAAGCTTGTGGTTTTTGGTCTGTGTTCTACAGATCTTCAGAGTCAGTACTGGGTGGGACTAGTCTGAACTTGAAGACCTTGTAAGGCGTCTTCAAAAGGTGATTGATTTGCACAGACATCAGACTTTAGAGGAGAAGAGTCCATAGTACATAGTCAAGAGATTTTGGCTGTCAGCATGAAGTGTAACATTTCTTGCAAAGAGATGGAGATAGCAATCATCTTAGCTGGTGAAAGCCCTATTTAAATGGGGATTATGAGACGCTTTCTACCTGCAAAGAACAAAGAGTACATTGTGAAGTTTTGGTGCTTGGATCTCTCAATGCAAGGCCAGTCTGATGACGGAAAAAGAGAGTGAATAAGGTCTGTGTGCTGTGCCAAGAAGCTGAAGCTGTGGCTCACGTGCTCATGGCTCTTTGTGGGGTTAGCTCTGAGAAAGGAGTGCAGCTGCAGGCTTGCTCAGGTCCTCCTTCCTGGTAGGAGCTCTGTCACTGACTGAAGCAAGAGTGCCATCACACAAGTAGTTTCTTTAGAGAAAGTATCAGAGCAGTGCTGAATTGCCAGCAAGGCATTCATGGGCAAGAGGGGGACGCTCCTCATGCGAAGCACTTGAACTGTGACAAAAGAAGCTTCCTGAGAGCCCTCTACCTGGAGGTTTTATGCCTTTTCTTGTACAGGGTTTTGTCTGATGTCCCTCATTTCTAGGCTCCATGCATGTAGCCTTGTTCTGCCTTACAGTGGTAGAGCTGTTTAGGTCTGGGATGAATATGGGATGCCTTGAGAAGAGCTGCTGTGAGTTTGATATGGCTGTGTTGATCACATTGGGAGAAAGAGGCTATCAGCAAGAGGTGATAAAGTCGTTAGCCACTTCCTCTAGAAAGAAGAGTAATTATCTCCTAGGAAACAGTTTGGCCTTGGAATTCTAATGAACAAAGCAAACAAATGTTGTAATCTGGAAAAAATATCAGCTGTGAAAGCTGTAGACCCTGGTTTTAGTCTGTTTACACCAGAACAAGGCCTAGAAGTTTCGAAAACCAAAGCAGTCAACAGAAAGTGAAGGGATATCTTCGGTAGATGCCTTTCTCTACAGCTGCACAGTGCATCTCTTCTGAATATAATCCGTTGAAACAGCATTCAACTGAGTAAAATAAACCCAGTAGTGTTGTCTGTCCTTCATCAAAGCTTTTGGGAAGCCATACTTAGTTCCTTCTCAGCTGAAGTCACTAGCTATGCCAGGACTTGGAGGTCTCGTGGTGAGGAAGGGACTTTTAAAGGTGATCTAGTCCAATCCCCCTGTGGGGAGGAGGGACATCTGCAACTAGAGCAGGTTACTCAAGAGCCCTGGCCAACCTGACCTGTAATGGTTCCATGAATTGGTCTTGGGTGGTGTGGGATACACAGCTCTGAGAGCACCTTGCCAGTATTCCCATCTGTGCAGGTCTTTGAACTTCTCCAGATCTGTTGAACTCTGCCGAAGACTTTCTGGTTTCATTTCTCTTACTGGGTAGCACTCAGGTGATAGAAACTTTGCTTTGAGTCACCAAGCTGTGTGACACCAATTATCAGTGTGAACATGTTCACATTTTACAGAAACTTCTTCTCGGATTCTTGATTTGATGTTATTGGCTCCAATTTGCAAAGCAGCCATTGAGCTGCAATCTTTCATTTTAATTTATGGGTACGTTTTATACTTGTCGAAGATTTTCCAGAATTGGCAGCATCTGTGCAACCTTTAAAAAATAATTAATTGCACCATACTAAAAGAAGGAGCTCTGTGTTTCAATAATGGACTTCAGCTTTACAATAACTTGGGTTTATTTTGTTTTGTTTTGTTTTTTTCTCCAGCTTTCCATTTTACCACATAGAAATATTTTTTAAATATTCATACCACAGAAGGTGTTACGAACAACGTAATGTCTACACCAGGTAGCAGACACAACCTACATGAGCAAGTTTGACCACTTCTTTCCTGTTTTGGTTATGTGTCTGTCATCTCCTACCTACAGATTCCTATCAAACATTCAGTCAAAATTTGTAGACATTTCTAAGTCTGCATTGCTAGTAACTTTCTTCTCAGTTTTAACTATAAATGTTTTAGAGGGGTTGTAGACCTGAATTCCAAATTCATGGGGTTTTTTTCCAAGTTCTTTAGAACTATTTCCATATGTTCTGCTAGTCTGTGAGGAACAGGAGTAAGTAGGATAAGGGAGCAAGCAGCTCCTTCTGAGATGTTTTGCAGTGCTCAAATGCCAGCATGCCAGGTTTACAGATGCTCTTTGAAAAAGAAATGGAGGTGATCTGCTTCAGCTCTTTGTCTCTTGGGCGTTTCTTCATCTCTCTGGAGTACCTGGTGTCAGGATTTGGTGACTTTGGGCCTATTAATGTGGTGCACACACTTTCATCAGTAAAATGCTCAAGGTTCATGAGCTTAGTTAATCAGTGTGCTTGAAGAACAGTAGATTTTCATTACTGAAGGTTTCAAAGGACCACGAGCTGCCAAAATCTCTTGCTGCGTGAGCTTCACCCCAAGGTCTGGGATGCTGAGGAGTGTAGAGCAGATGCCATCTATATACAAGAGAAATTATGGAAACTCCAGAGTCTTCTGCTGTCCTAAGAGTCACAGGGACACTGTGGGTCAGAGATGATGAAGTGTTAGCATCTTGATATCCCACGTGCCACGTAAAGTCACAGAAAGCAGCCTGTCAGGGTCTTAAATTCCTCACGTCAACCTCCCTTGTGGAAGGAAGGGTGTTGCTGTAGCCTGAGCCTCTGTATTCTTCTGTCTGGATTGAAACAGAAGCTTTAATTGGTGTTGGCATTGTTCTTACAGGCAGCCCAGCCATGACTCACAGAAACCTGACTTCCACCAGTCTGAATGACATCTCTGACAAGCCTGAGAAAGATCAGGTAAGCTTCAGATTGAGGTTTTGTTTGGTGATGTCTAGGGTTAGGAGTTGAATCTTGGGGAAGGAGGCTCTGTACCATAAAACCAAAGCAGAAGAAGAGTGTGAACAAGGTGAGTAGAGTATTTCTGAGTCTGTGACTGGATTCTCCACTTTTTAAACACCAGTCCTTGAAAAGTGTGGGTTAAACACTTGCAGAGCCTGAACCATGTGAACCACATACATGACATCTTGCTGATACGTGTGAGAGAGGAGGGAAAATATCCAGATGTTGATGTA